AATTCCACTGTTGCCTTCAGAAGGAATCAATTCTACTGACAGCATGAACTTAGATTTCTAGCCTCCAGAACTGTGAGATAACAAAGTTCTGTTACTGAAGCCACTGAATTTGTAATGCTTTGTTATGAAAGCCCTTGTAAACCAATGCTGTTATTCTACTTTCTGTGACTTCCCTTTAAAAACAAAACAAAGCTGGGTGCTGGTGGCTCATGCCTCTAATCCTAGCTACTCAGGAGGCTGAGATCTGAGGATCACAGATTAAAGCTAACCCGGGCAGAAAAGTCTCCATGAGACTTATCCACTTAACCATTTAAAAATTGGAAGTGGTGACGCCCCTCATCCTAAAGGCAGGGATGCTGAAAAACATTATCTGTTGCACAGAATTGTTGGGAGGATTAATAAGGTAGATGTTGGTATGTGTAATACTCTTAGAGCACTATATGCCTTTTGGCTTTGTTAGCTAGGGCTATGTGAAACAAAGTGCATGTCCTCTATAGTCACCAGTTACCTTATCTTTTGCTTGCAGTCTTTGACTCCTATGATAGAAAGAACATGTAAAATATATATTTGTACTCATGTGGACACAATATTTCATATACTTGCTACCAACTTAAAACTAACAGATGGAAGTCTCAAAAGTTGTTGAAGATATTTTATATAATATCAACTGCTCTATATTTCACTAGAGAAAGGTTATAATTACTAACTTTGATGGGAGTTATTTCATCAGAAGTCTCTAATGTGTCATTGTAGTATAGACTCATGACAAGTAAATAGTACTGGCTGTTTTGGGGGTTTTCCTTTTCCATCTTGTGGAATATTGTAAAGAAATTATAAAGTATGAAACAACTTTCACCGATGTACACAATTGATGTTTTGCAAACTAATATTTTAACTTAAACTTGTTCATACTGAAAAAAAACACCGGAAGTAGAACTGTGATTCAATGTGGTAGAGTGCTAGCCTTGAGCAAAAGAACTCAGGGACAGCACTCAGACCTGAGTTCAAGCACCACAACTGACAAAAAAATTAGAAAATAAAATAAAAACTACAACTGTGATGGTATTGGGGATTGAACTCAAAAACCTCGTACTTGTTAGTAGGCAGGTAGTAGGCCACTTAAACGACACCTCCAACACCCATGTAAATTTTAGATACAATCTTACCTATAAAATTATTACCTATAAAAAAATTACTTTTTCCTGAAAGTAGGTAAAGCAATGTGAGGACAACTGCTATCACTGCTATGTTGAACCTTTCAACCATAAACACTGCGTGTCTTTCCATTTGTTCACGTCTTCTTTCAGACTATAGTTTTCAGAATATAGGTATTATACATTTCCTTTTTTAGTAACTTTAAATGGCATAATTTATAATTAGGATGTTAATATGCTCAATGCTAAAAAATATTATGTTCAATGGTAATTAGCATTTAGAAATGCCATTTTTGTGCCAGGTACCAGTGGTTCACACCTGTAAGCCTAGCTACTCAGGAGAATGAGATCTGAAGATTGTTATTCAAAGCCAGCCCAAGCAGGAAAGAAAGTCCATGAGATTCTTATCTCCAACTAACCAAAAAGAAAAAAGAAAGAAAGAAAAATGAAAAAAAGCAAGAAATGGAGCTATGGCTCAAGTGATAGAGCTAGCCTTGAGCAAAAAGATAACACTCAGGCCCTGAATTAAAGCTGCAGCACAAAAAAGAAATTTCTTTTTTTAACTTGAATCTTATAACCCTAATAAACAACCTATACTTCTACTTTGTAGGATCTTAGGAATTTTTCTACTTATAAAAAAAAAAATCATGGAGTTTGAGTTAAAGTCCCAGCACAAAAAACACTAATAAGCAACCTATATTTCTACTTTGTAGGATTTTGCTACTTATAAAAAAAGCATGGAATTTGTCATGAAAGATTTTATTTCTTCTGATCATACAAAATACTATTTATCAAAATGAACCCCAAGAAATGAGAACAAGAAGTATTTTTTTTTTCTTGACTGCTGTTTGCAACTTGTTAACTTTTTTTTGTCTTTTGGGTGGGTGGGAGTCACAGAAATGGAGGGACAAAGGGTGAACATATTCAGCAGTGGTACTCACTGGACCCTACATTAAAAATGAACTATACAAGCTGAGCACCAGTGGATCATGCCGGTAATCCTAGCTACTCAGGAGGCTCAGATCTGAGGATCGTGGTTCAAAGCCAGCCCAGGCAGAAACGTCTGTGAGACTCTTATCTCCAATAAACCACTAGAACACCAGAAGTGGCACTGTGGCTCAAGCAGTAGAGCCCTCACCTTGAGCTGAACAGAGCAGGGACAGTGCTCAGACCCAGAGGTTCAAGCCCCACAGCCAACAAAAAAAGAAAAAATATATGAACTATACAACTTGTGGGTGCAGATGGAAGGAAGACAGAGAGAGCAAACAGCTGACAGTTGGATGTTCATTATTTTTTAATTTGTTTTCTTTTGTATTTTTTTTGGGGGGGGGGTCTGGTTGTAGGGCCTGAACTCTGGGCCTGGGTGCTGTCCCTCAGTTCTTCAGCTCAAGGCTAGCAGTCTACCACTTGAGCCACAGCACCACTCCCGGCTTTTTTCTTTTTGCTTATGTGGTGCTGAAGAATCGAACCCAGGGCCTCAGGCATGTAAGGCAAGTGCTCTACCACTGAGCCACTTTCCCAGCCTCTTGTCTGTATTTCTTGTTTGACTTTTTGAATTCCATTTTCACCTATCTATATAGTGCTTTTCAGTGCATCTCTTTGTGAACAATCTCTAGTGGATTGGACAGTGGTGGCTCATACCTGTAATCATAGCTACATTGAGGGCTGAGATCACGGTTCAAAGCCAGCCTGGGAAAAACAGTTTATGAGGCTTATCTCCAATTAACCACTAGAACACCAAAAGTGGCACTGTGGCTCAAAATGGTAAAGCTCCAGCCTTGAACAAAAGAGCTCAAGGACAGTGCCCAGGTCCTGATTTCAAGCCCCAGAACCAACAACAATAACAACAAGAAGAATCTCTAGTGGTCAAACTGAGCATTTAAGACATAATTGTTACTTACTAATTTAATCATTTTACCAGTTCAGTTCAAATGAGATAGAAATACTTTGCCTTTATGTCCCTTTACCTAACCCCATTTATAATTGTAAACAGGAAGATAATGGAGATAAAATTAGACTTTGAAACAACTTGGCTGTGAACAGCATAGAATCAAAGAGAGTAGGGTAAAGTGGAGTCAGAATTTTCTAGTTGATTGACTGAATAGTAAAAGATAAAAAGACCTGAGCAACTAAGGAAAAGATTAAGGCATAGCTCAAGTGGTAGAGTACAAAGGGTGAAAAATCCAAATTAGAAGCCCTGAGATCAACCCCCCACACATACATGCTTTTACAAACACACACAAACACACACACCACACACACACACACACACACACACACACACAAAAAAACCACACACACACACACACACACACACACACAAAAAAAAAAAAAACCAACAACATAACCAGGTGCCATTGGCTCATGTCTGTAATCCTAGCTACTCAGAAGGCTCAGATCTGAGGATCATGGTTCAAAGCCAGCTAGAGCAGGAATGTCCGTGAGTCTCCTACCTCCAATAAACCATCAGAAAACTGAAGTGACGCTGCGGCTCAAGTGGTAGAGCTCTGACCTTGAGCTGAAGAGCTGAGGGACAGCACCCAAGCTGAGTTCAAACCACATGACCAACCAAAATAAAAAAAACAGCAAAAAGAACCCCAAAAAACTCACAGTACAAAGGAAGAGGATACTCAAACTAGTAAGAGCAGTATATTTCCATTGAACTAGGAGGGATAAAAGAAAAGATGTGGCCGGGTGCCAGTGGCTCACGCCTATAAATCCTAGCTACTCAGGAGGCTGAGAGCTGAGGATCACAGTTCAAAGCCAGCTGGGCAGGAAAGTCTGTGAGACTCTTATCTCCAATAAACCACCAAAAAACCGGAAGTGGCACTGTGTGGCTCAGGTAGTAGAGTACTACTAGCCTTGAGCTGAAGAGCTGAGGGACAGCACCTAGGCCCAGAGTTCCAGCCCCAGGACCAACAGAAAGTATGTATAAGGAGTTTGAAGTAGAGAGGAAAGTCTTATTTCTAACAATGGAAATAAAATTCTTGTTAAAGTGGAAGAATTAGTGGAAGAGTAGATTTGATCAAAATTATTCAAATTTAGCCTTGAAGCTCAGAGTGGTGGTACACACTCAACACAGAAGTGGCTGACGGAAGTATGAGCTCAATCTAAATACACACAACAGACCCCGTGCTTGGGGGGGAGGGGGTGTGTCAGGGGGGATCAGAATTAGAGAACAAATAGAGTATCATTTACAATCAACACGTAAAGCTGTGAGTGATCTTGAAATCATGGACTGTGTAAACAATTTCCAATCTTTAATAATTTTCATAATTGTAGGTTTATGCTGGAGAAACAGAAATAGTGGAAATTAAAAAGCAACCCAGGAATGAAGTATTACAGGACCAATTTAAACATAAAGAAACCATAGAGAAATGCCAATACAAATTTCCAATAACTTTAAGTATAAAAGCAAAGGATTATCTCCTGCTTAAGAATGCAGCTTTTAATCAGAGAAATGCCTGTAAAAATATGCTACAAACTTTTTTCCTATTTTATCAAAATACCTCTGCTGCATAAAATTTTACGATACTGTGAAGTATGATTAGTTGAAAATTGGAATTCAGAAATAACTTATAATTCTCATCTGTTTAACCCCTGTCCCTTTGCTGTTATTTATAATTTGCCTCTTAATTCCAAGAAGGGTGTTCAATGCTTAGAATTTTTCTGGCCATAAATGACTTGTCACTTTATATACATAAAAAAATACAAGTATCAATGCATTTGTATAAAGAAAAACATAAAAATGCAAGCCACAAGAAAATTTATTTTCCTTTGAAATACTTATTCAATGTTAATAAACAACTCCAAATTTATACAATTACATGTAAAATTTTCTCTTACCTAATTTTACAGGAAAACCTGGCGGAAGCTTCATTTGAACAAATTCTCTAAGCTTGTTAAAGTGCTTGAAGGGAGCTATTACTTCTAGAACATTCAATAATCTGAAAAACAGAAGAAAAACTGTTTTCACTGTTCAACCTAAATTCTTTGCATTTATACATTGTTTTTAAACTAATTTGGAGATTTCATGAATGAGAAAATTGTACTTTATGCTTCCTGGTTTTAGAATTTTTGTTGGTATTCCTTTTTCACTGCGATATGGTTTATAACCTTAGTGTGTGCACACTTAAGACTTTGGATGTTATCAGACTCCCTTTTATATAGATTTAAAGCTTTCCACTTGTTTACTAAAATCCACACAATCAAGTTCTTTCATCAAACTTACTGTTTGCATCACAGATTTTCACTAATCACTTGATAAATTTTTATCAAGTACATGAATGGCTCCAATTATTTGCCTAATACTCCTTGATTCCATGATCTATTAATTTATTAAATGAGGGTTTCTTTCCATTATATTTAAAGGGAAATCTGACTTCACAGAAATTTCTGGTGATACTATTCTTTTGTCTGAACTAGCATTTCATGGTGTCTCTTAGTGATCCATATCGAACTACAACTTATTGCTCTTCTGATGTAAATGATTTCATCTTCAGGCAAGATTATCTTTTTTTTTGGTCGGTCATGCGGCCTGAACTCTGGGTCTAGACGATGTCTCTGAACTCTTCAGCTCAAGACTAGTGCTCTACCACTTGAGCCACAGTGCCAGTTTTCTGATGGTTGTTAACTGGGGATAAGAGTCTCATGGACAGTCCTACCATTCCTGCCCAGGCTGGCTTTGAACTGAGATCCTCAGAGCTGAGCCTCCTGAGTAGCTAGGATTACAGATGTGAGCCACCAGCGCCCAGCTTAATACCTTAAATTTTTAACAAAATACATTATCAGAACGAAACCTTCCTTCCTTTTCTTCCATCCTTCTTTTCTTCCTTCCTTTCTTTTTTCCTACAAGGTTTTGAACTTAGAGGCCTGTAACTTGCTAGCAAGCACTTGACCACATGAGCTACACCGTCAACCCTTTTTCATATAGTACACAAAGATAAATACAAGGCCAGGTTGATTTTTACCTCCCTCTGCCTAGTTACCTTTAGATTTTGTTGTTGTTGTTACCACCAGTTGAAGTTTAACCATGATTATATTACTGATCATTCTGTACCCATATTTATTGAAATGTTATCTTGAAGGTACAGTTTTTTATTACAAAAAAATTTCTTTTAACACATTTTGACTACAATATGTCACACTTAGAAGACTAAGTGGAACATCTACACTTCTTATGGTTTAACTATCACTGTCCTCCAAATCTATTATTTTGCTAATTGCTTTCATCTGTTCTTCCTTTCATTTATTATGAGCTATCAAAATCTCCTTTTCAGTCACATTTAGTCTCTTTTTTCTACTGTATATAACTTTTGGGGGGTTTTTGGGTGGGGTTTTTGGTGGGATCCTATATAGTATGACTGGGGTTCTAACCACTTGAGCCATAACCCTACCCCTATATTTGTTTTCTAACACTGTTATTTAATTGCTCTATTTTTTTAGCTTTTCAATTTTGTTGTTGTTGTTGTCAGTACTGGGGCTTGAACTCAGGTCCTGGCTGTTGTCCCTAGGCTTTTTTACTCAAGGGTAGACACTCTACCAATTAAGCCACACAGCTCCACTTCTGGTTTTTCCGTGTTTAACTGGAGATAAGAGTCTAATGGACTTTCATGACAGGCTGGCTTTGAACTCTGATCCTAACCTCTTGGGCTCCTGAGTAGCTAAGATTACAGGCATTACTCACCAGCACCTGGCCTTTAATCTCTTTATTTCATTTGACTGTCTTTCATCTCAGAGTGGTCTAATTTTACAGATTTCATGCTCATTATGTGATTTTTCCATAGGCTTTACGAAACAATTTCTTCTGTTCTCTGAACTTTAACTCTAGAATAAATACTTTGTTAACTGCAATGTTCTTTATTTTCTATTTTATTTTTTTGTCCAGGGATAATAATTCCAATTTTGACATATATGTTTCTAAATGTAACATACTTGAAATTGAGTACTCCTAAAAATTAATGTCAGCATAAAATTAGCCACACTGCTTCTTTATTAGTAAATGGAATATAAAACTGGTACATCATAGAGCCTCCGGGATCACAGGTATGATGGATTTTTGGCATGGATATTATGCATGGATAAATCCCTTCTTGCACTTTCTGAAACTTATCTCTTTGGCCTATAGCTTTTGGACTATACAGAACATTTACTTTCCTAAATTAGCCTTAGGAAAAAGTCAAGAAATATACTGGATGAATGGTAAAGTCCATCACTCTTATCTCCAATAAACTACTCAGAAAAAGCCAAAAGTAGCACTGTGGCTCAAGTGGTAGAGCACTAACTTTGAGCTAAATAAAGCTCAGGGACAGTGCCCAGGCCTAGAATTCAAATCCCAGGACTGGCAAAAATACTACCATCCGCACCCCCCAGTTGGTCATGGGCTTGAACAGGCTTGGGCGCTATTCAGCTGCAGGCAAGCACTTTACTGCTTTGAGCCACAGGGCCACTTCCAGTTTGCTAGTGGTTTATTGGAGATAAGAGTCACTTCATTGGAGTCTCATGGACTAAGATTACCACCCTGGGGTTGGCTTTGAACCGAAATCCTCAGATCTCAGCTTCCTGAATAGCTAGGATTACAAACATGAGCACTGGTGCCCACTCCAAATACTATTTTTAAGGGGGGATCTTGCCCAAGGCCAGTGGTTCACGTCTGCAATCCTAGCTACTCAAGAGGCTGAGATCCGAGGGTGCAGTTCAAAGCCAGCCCAGGCAGGAAAGTCTGAGAGACTCATCTCCAATTAACTGCCAGAAAACAAGAAGTGGCACTGTGGCTCAAGCGGTAGAATGTTCACTTTGAGTAGAAGAGCTGAGGCCCAGAGTTCAAGCCCCATGACCGACAAAAAAAAAGGGAGGGGGGGAATCTGATGAGTTTCGAGTCTGAATGGACATATTCAAGAAGTTCACTGCAATATTGTTTCAAAGGAACTAAAAACAACCAAAATGGGGCTGGGAAGGTGGCTCAGTGGTAGAGCGCTTGCCTTGCATGTCTGAGGCCCTGGATTTGATTCCTCAGCACCACATAAGCAAAAAGAAAAAAGCCAGAAGTGGTGCTGTGGCTCAAGTGGTAGAGCACTAGCCCTGAGCTGAAGAGCTGAGGGACAGCACCCAGGCCCAGAGTTCAGGCCCCACGACCGGACCAAAAAAAAAAAAAAAAATCAAAATGTTTTTTAGTCGAGGAATGATAAAAATGAATGACAAACACCAACTACTACAAATACATCAATTGAACAAGAAAAAGAATTAGACAAAATGTAGTTACTTTAAGAATTCCAATATGGACACTACTTCAAAAGAAAAAAAGCAAGTAACTGAACAAAAACCAAATTTGCCATTTTTATTTTTAAAATGCAAAAATACTGGTAAATTTAGACAAAAATACACCAGTCCCTATCATTGGTGGTTGGGGGTGGGGGGGACATTCTTCAGTCTATAAATTTCCATGCCATAGTATACTTTACACTAGTAGTCATGTATTACTTCAATAAATTTTTGGAAACTATTCAAAAATTTATCTGAAAAAAATGAAAATACTTTTGCTAACCAGAACATTTCTAGAAAAATACCCTTGTTTTTAGATTTCAAAAGCTTCAACAGTACTCTCAGTTACAAATATTATTACAATCTTTAAGGTTTCTATTGTGAACATAAATAATGAACTTACAATTCAATCCCTAAGGGAAATTCCTGGCTCATGGCTATTGTGGCTTTAAATGTCTTCTTACTTTCTTTGCACACTAGTTCTCTTCCCAGATGAGGAGCTCTAAAGTTAAAAGAAAAAATAATAAAGGAAAGAAAAAAAAATATGTTAAGAAACTTGTTCCATTCTAGATATCAATCATCTACCAATGAATTCATGCATAGCTCAATTTTTTCTTATTGACTATAGAAATGAATTAAAATTATGCTACAAAGAATAAGCTGAAAGTAAGAAATGAAACAAGCATAACAAAATAATTTTTAAAATTTGGAAAAAAATTATCAGATTTCAATTAATTCACATTGAATACAACTGAGTTTTAATCAATCAGTTTTAATTAATTATCTTCAAGTCGCTTACTGTATTCCTTACTCCTTTACTATCTACTACAATTTTATCACAAATTGCAAAGAAAAAATGCCAGACACTGGTGGCTCATGCCTATAAGCCTAGCTAATCAGGTGGCTGAAATCTGAGGACTGAGGTTCAAAGCAGCCTGGGCAGGAAATTCCACCAGACTCTTATCTCCGATAAACTTCTCAGAAAAAGCCAAAAGTGGCACTGTGTCTCAAGTGATAGAGTGCTAACTTTGAGCTAAATAAAGCTCAGGGACAGTGCCCAGGCCTAGAATTCAAGCCCTAGGACTGGCAAAAATAAGTTAAATAAAAGAACTCTATGCTAATCATGTTCAAAAGCAAATTATAATATAATTTTTAAAGATCTACTTTATTATTTTTGCATTTCTATGATAGGTTCACACTTTATACCATAAAAAAAAAGGTTCTACTGGGCTGAACAGAGTATGTTCGCTTTAAAGACATGAGAAAGAGGTAAAAGAAGAAACAAAATAAACAGAGTGTGTTAAAATTATTTTCCATACAACACTGACTCATGTTGACTGGAATCTCTTGGAGGTGTTTTACTTGGTTACAGTTTTTGCCAACTGTTTGATTTATGGCACATATCACACAGTAGTCTATTTTGACTTGGTCTGATCAGATAAGTAGTGTGACAAACTAGTTCAAAAGAATGCCCTGAAACTATGTTTAACACTATAGAATATTAAGACAGAGAAACTTCATAGTGAAGTAATAGTAAAAGTAACAAATCCTTCAATAAGAAAAAAAGAAAAAAATAATTTCCCTCTGAACATTCTTCATCTTTTTTTTTTTTTTTTTTGGATAGTCCTTGGGGCTTGAACTCAGGGCCTGGTCACTGTTCAAGGCTAGCACTCTACAACTTGAGCACCACTTCTGGCGTTTTCTGAGTAGTTTTATTGGAATGAGTCTCATAGACTCTTCTGCCTAGGCTAGCTTTGAACCGCAATCCTCAGATCTCAGCCTCATGAGTAGCTAGGATTATAGCTGTGAACCACCTGTGCCCAGCCATTCATCATTCTTTTAGTAAGTAAGTATGTACCAGCTATGTACTAATAATTAAGAGTTAGGAATATTAAATACAAACTATGTGCTCAGTATGATAATAAATGCTAATAATAGAACAGTAAGCAAAGGCCTCAGGAGGGGTAATGTGAAGTAGAGTAAAATAAATGAAAAAATAAGCTAGGAAAATAAGGTAGGAAAATAGGGGAAAAAAACAGAATAATTTTATATACAATGATAGAGAATCACAAAAAATGAATAAATTCATCACACAATGGAAAGTTTCAAGGAAGTTAACTACATTGGGCAATTTTCTACATTATATTTCCTTAGAAAAAGTCCTACAAGGTTTTTTTTTTTGTTTGGGTTTGGGGTTTTTTTGTGAGTATAAATTACAGAACGAATAGAGAGAGAAAGAAGGCTCTACAATCTTACTAAAGCCTATATACAACTTGGGATACTCCCTCATCATTCTTTTTTTGGCCAGTTGTGGGGCCTGAACTCTGGGCCTGGGCACTGTCCCTCAGCTCTTCAGCTCAAGGCTAGTGCTCTACCACCTGAGCCACAGCGCTACTTCTGGCTTTTTCTGTTTATGTGGTGCTGAGGAATTGAACCCAGGGCCTCATGCATGCAAGGCAAGCACTCTACCACTGAGCCACCTTCCCAGCTCCCTCCTTCATCATTTTTAATCCATATTTTTAGAAGTGAAAAAAAGTTTCAGACAAAAATATACCAATATTTTCTTATAAATTCAAATACCTAGGTATTTATACAGTTTACTTTTACAGTTTGTTCTTTCTAAAATTCAAAGCCATAAAACCACCTACTTTCCATTTTCAGCAGATATATATTCTTCCCAAGTAATAGTGTTCTGAGGAGGAGGGGTAAGGGACTGTCTTCGAACAGGCTGCCAAAAAATAAAAGAAAAAATACAGAGTGTAAAGAGAAGTCACATTTTTAATACAAAATTTTTTAATACACACAGTAAGCTGACACTGGGAGTTTTGCTCACTGGTAGAGTATACAATAGTATGCAAGTAGCTCTGACTTCAATTACCAACACCAAAAATTAAACAAGGAAGGGGAGCAAACTATTTAATACAAGCTACTTGGAAGTGGCTCTGTAGCTCAAAGGGTAGAGTGCTAGCCTTGAGCGAAAAAGCTCAGAGACAGCACCCTGGCCCTGAGGTCAAGGCCCACCACCAACAAAATAAATAAATAAGAAAACCACAATCTATTTAACCACTTCAACATGCTACTTGAAAAGATTGCAAGATAGATCAGTCATAAGTAGTGGGTGAAGATAGCAAAGAGATTCTCAAAAAATTTATATACTTGTCTCCAAAAGCACAGTAAAAATTCTCATAGACAAGTCTGTGGAGACAGAGCATCACCAGGCCTACCAACAACAGTGTGGGTAACAGCAGCCTGAAGAATGGTAGAATAGGGTTCCAAGGGTGTTATTTCCCCAAAACTTCCTATCTCCTTTGTTGGCAAAGTTGCCTTTGCTGGCCAAACAATCCTTTCAGGGTGAGGAACATTTGTTCTGCCAATGCTTTTTTTGGGGGGTCCAGTCGTGAGGCCTGAACTCTGGGCCTGGGCACTGTCCCTCAGCACTTCAGCTCAAGTCTAGTGCTCTACCACTTGGGCCACAGCGCCACTTCCAGCTTTTTTTCTTTTTTGCTTATGTGGTGCTGAGGAATCGAACCCAGGGCCTCATGCATACAAGGCAAGCGCTCTACCACTGAACCACCTTCCCAGTCCCTGCCAATGCTTATTGTGCTATTTGTAACATCACTTGAAAGCCATACAAAATTATAAATACAGGCAGCCTAAAAGCAGTGAAAGAGAAATGTGTCAGTGCTATCATGGAAGTAAATCATACAATTTGTGGGTGGAGATGGGAGGGAGGAATTGGGAAAGAATGAGGGAACAGAAGACATAGAAAAAGATAGTGGTATGGGTACAGGAACTACAAGTGTCTTAACATTTATTACATTAGATAAAACGGGGGGGAGGGCCGCAACAGGATGACATGTGTGCATAATTAGCTATTCCAGCAAAGTGAGACCTGGTTAGTCATTATTTCCATTCTGATTATACAGAGGACTCCAGAAAAGTTGCTACTGCTGTCATTACATGATGGAAGCATCTGGTCCCCATGAGATGTTTATTCCTGCATTCAGGCTTCAGCTTCACCTCGTGGTGAAGATCTATTCTGTGACGCTCTGCTGTTTCTTAGGTATTGTTTTAGTCCCCTGTGTAACTTTGTCAGGGGAAGGGTTGGGGAGGAGTTGGGAAGAAAGGGAGGGTAGGGGAAAAACAAAGGAGGGGGTAACAATGCTCAACAGGAAATGTACTCATTACCTTGCTCATGTAACTGTAACCCCTCTGTACAGTATCTTCACAATTAAATATATTTAAAAAAAGGTGTTATAGATCAGGGTCTGTCAATCATAATATCCAGGATGTTTCATTGAAGATGAGAGGCCCCAAGCAAAGAAGACAGATATAAAAGGGAGGCAAGGATGTCAAGTTTTTATCTTACTTTCAGTTAACTCGTGGACCCAAGTAAGGAGTCATTAACAACCTTTTAGCAAAAGCAGTTAAGTTTCTATGCACCTGTTACAATTCCACATTGATTTAAGCTCCAATAGACATATTATATATCTTTTTTAGATTCTTGTTGGTGTTAAAGTAGTGAACTCATTCAATGTTTCCACTCATCTAAAATTAAAATGTCTGCACATTATGCTAACTGCTGAACATAGTAGTTAGAGAAGCTGAAGAACTAACTTCAGGAATAAAGAACGATATAAGTCAGGGGAAGAACAGTTGCTTAGCATGCATAAGGTCTTGAATTCAAACCCCAGCACCACCAAAAAGAAAAAAAAAACAGTTGAGAAGTAGAACATAGCCTAGATGTATCAGACTCTAGGTTCAACCCATAAAACTACAAACTAAATACACACACACACATACCAAACTATCAGAGTCAACAGGCAAGCAGTCTATAAACTGCTATTCTACATTCTCATCGCAAAATGACTTGTCATTATTAGGGTGGCCATAACCACCCTAAAATGAAGACAGTTTTTAAAAGAAACTCTAAACAAGATTTAAATCACAAGTCAAAATAGCAATATATTTTTTTGGCTGATCAACAATAAGGAAATGGGGTAGTTTTGTTAAAGACTAAGGCATTCCTTTTAACCAACTTATCTCCTCTTTCTCCTGAACACATGCTATGCTACTTTCTTTTATTGACCAGAAGATCAGAAAATGAAGAGACTATAATTCAAGCCAAGGAAAAAACAAAAAAGCATAAATACAACCTGTTAGGCAAGAATAGGATCACACTAAATTGGGAGTTTCAGCTTAAGTATTTTACATAGTGTACTCAATTATCTATTACTAATTACATGGACTTCCCACATTAAAATATTTTCCTGGAACACGCAGAATTATCATGAATTATTTTGGAATCTGGCATGCTACTACCCTTCAGAGTTGTCCATATCTAAAACATATAATCTGGCGCAATACCACAGGGGAGGGATTAAACATACAAGAAATCCAAGCTTTCTGCTACTATTTCATTTTTCAATGACTATTACATTTTTTTTTTTTTTTGTCGGTCGTGGGGCTTGAACTCTGGGCATGGACGCTGTCCCTCAGCTCTTCAGCTCAAGGCGAGCGCTCTACCACTTGAGCTACAGCACCACTTCCGGTTTTCTGGTAGTTAATTGGAGAAAAGAGTCTGACAGACTTTCCTGCCTGGGCTGGCTTTGAACCACGATCCTCAGATCTCAGCCTCCTGAGTAGCTAGGATTACAGGTGTGAGCCACCAGCGCCCGGCGACTATTACATTTTCAGTATAATCTAACAGCCCCACATATGAATACAATACATCCACTTCTAAAATTATTGTTTTATGAGCCAGTAATGACTCTGCATAATGGGCCCTTTTTGAAAATCTATTGCTTTTATTAAGGAAAGGTGGTCATGGCCTATTAAACTAGTTGCATTACCTCCTAAGGGTTCCCCACCATAACAGTTAGGAAAAAAATACAGGAAAACTGTAATACTTATTTGTAAATCTAAAATTGTCAAAACAAAAAAATAAATAAATATTAGCTGGACACCAGTGGCTCATGAGGCTGAGATGATCATGGTTTGAAGACAGCCCCGACTGAAAAGTCCATGAGACTCTTATCTCCAATTAACCAACACAAAGTTGGAAGCAGAACTGTGGTTCAAATAGCACAGCATAAGCCTTGAGCACAAAAGGTCAGGGACAGCATCCAAGAGCAGTTCAAGCCCCAGCAACACACACATGCATGCACGCATGCACAATTTAAGAAGCAATCTAATTCATTTTATTAGGAAATAAATAGCAAGAGCTGTCACCATATTTCATGTTTTATTAATTTCCCTTCCCTGTACTATTAGTCATTCAATATTTGCATATAGTATGTATTCATTAAACAGATGCAAAATAAAAAAATATTTTGAAGAGGAAATAGCCTCAAGACTAACATAATAAGAGCTGGTCCTTCAAACCAGCAGATTTCACTGAAGCATATTATATGTAAAGGGGTATGGAATAAAATTTAACACTGTTTCATACTAACAAAATGATTTTATATTAAGGAAGAATCAAATACCAATGTAGAATCATGAAACATAACAAAGTCTGGCTTTTTTTTTCCTTTTCTAATAATGACATGACAAAGATAAAGATTCATGGAAAAATAAAAGGCATTACATAGCAAATATAATAACATATAAGTATTTTTATATACACATTTCAAATGCCAAGAATGAAGTTCATTCTCTTTAAAAAACTATAAACTATACCTCAAAATTCTGTTCCATTATGTTTCCACCTTTACTCAAACTTTCCATGATGGCCTTATTTCGAAGAATATCCTCTTCACTAAGATGTTCTCTTCTTTTCCTTGATTCTAAAACAAGTCCATTCACCAGATAGAAGTCTGCCAAAAAGTTTCCTACTCTCTCCTAAAACAAAATCAAATATTCCAATACAATAAATTCTAAAGTAAGTTTATCTTAGATTTCAAAAAGTTTAAATGTAGTATATTTTCTATAAGCATTTAGGATATAGGTAAAAATAAATTTCAAATAAATTACAAGAGTATTTTATTGTATTCAGTTAAAATATTTAAATTATACACTTGTAATCAGTAAAGAGAAGTTTAAGTGACACAAAGATGTATGGTAATTAACCTTATAATGAGTTAAGTCTAAATAAAAAATACCATAGTATTCCTTTATCTACTCCCAAGTAGCACAAAGCTATCTGAGAACTTTATTAAACCAACAATCGAATATTATAAGTAACAAGGAGGGGTCAGGGATAACACTGTTCCCATTTTATAGATAGAAAAAAAGTAGAATAACAATAGTTTAAGTCACAAAGGAATCTCATACAACTAGAATTAGTGACCCTGTGCTTATTTTCTATTCTTTAGGACCAAAACTTAGAACTGCTTGCTGCTTTGCAAAAAAGAAAATGGATCAGCTTTGCTCCCCAACACAACTATATGTTTTGAATAATGAATAGGGGAGAAGGAAATTCAAGTAACATAAATGGTAACAAGAGTGGCAATTTTAATAAAGTCTTGATAAACTTTCAAGATTTCCAAACCCACAGTGGCCAGGGGAAAGAAAGGAAGGGGGGAGAGAGAGAGAGAGAGAGGGGGGGGGAGAGAATTTCCAAACCCACAGTGGCCAGGGGAAAGAAAGAAAGGGGGGGAGGGACGGGGGGAGGGGAGGGGAGGGAGAAAGGGAAGAAAAGAGGAAGGGGAAGGGAAGAAAAGGGGAAGGGAAGGGAAGGGAAGGGGAAGGGGAAGGGGAAGGTGAGGGAAGGGAAGGGAAGGGGAGAAAAAAGATAAAGAAAAACAGCAAAAACAAGCTTCCCAATTCTACCTACATGTAGTGACTTAAGTTTCCACCTAGCTTCAGAAAAACAGCTAATACAAGCTTCCCACTACCTTACATGTAGGTAACTTAGTTTTCACCTAGCTTCAGTGGCATCCTTACAGAAGTATTACTAAAAAGCAAAGCATGTGCACTAGTTTCTACCTACAAAATGGGAACCATAAGCATACTGACTCCCTCCTTACCTGTCAAAGATTTAAGGAGATCACCTAGACGCTGTTCAAGAGCTTTGAGCTGCTTAGCAGTAGCACTAGATGAATAGCAGTTTCAATTTTATCTTCTCTTCAAGTGATCCGTCTAATGCTGTCCAGAAGAACAGAGTACAGACAAATAAGACTTCAAAGCAACAAATGGATTGCTATGAGGGATTCCACAACCTGGAATCTTAAATGCCATTTGTTGCCAAATAGGCTTAGAGAGGAAAATTGATGAGTCTAGAAGTCACAGTTCCAATTTATTTGTGGCTAGGTGATAACAGGTTTTGAAACCATACAATGCAAAAGCATTTATTACATGTAAATTACCATATCAGTAAAAATTTTAAAAGTATATTCCTCATCATCTAGCCAAATGCATGTTAAAGGACAGTAAACACAGCATCATTTATAATGGTAGAAAACAACAAATAGTGCTAATTATTTAAGTTTCCAAAAGTAAGTTTGGTTAGACAGGCTAAAGCCATAGTGTGGAATGTTATGCAGTCGATAAAGAATAAAATAATCTACAGGTAATGGTACAGAATGGCTTCTCTAACACTAAAGAATGAAAAGAGCCAGTTGCAGAACACTATAAACAATTATGACACCTCATTAAGAAATATCAAAACAAAAAAACTAACATAAAAAAACTATGTATCCTATTCATGTATAGAAAATGTTTTAAAAGGTCTGGAGGAGATACAAACAGAACCTCTGGCAAGGGGTTCTAGGGTTGTAGGTAGTAGTCAAGGAAGACTAGAGTGGGTAAATCTGTCTGATGACTTAATACCAACTTGGGTAGGCTAAGGTACTTAGGTGTTGGTTGAAATTCTAGAAGCTATTTTATATATGTAAATAACAATCAATAGATTTTTGGTAAAGCAGATTACCTTCCATAATATGGCTGGGTATCATCCAATTAACTTAACTGAAGATGTTAAGTCAAACGGAGGTTTCCAAAAGGAAAAACAATTGTCTCCAACACAATATAAAAGTCCTAAGTGTAGCCTCTGGACATCTGACTCTAGACTATTTTTCAAATTTCTAGCCGGCTACACTGTTATAAATATATTAGGGTTGTCAATCTCCACAATTAGATGAGCCAACTTTTTTTTTTTTTTTTGGGTCCGGTCGTGGGGCCTGAACTCTGAGCCTAGGTGCTGTCCCTCAGCTCTTCAGCTTAAGGCTAGCGCTCTACCACTTGAGCCACAGCACCACTTCCGGCTTTTTTCTTATGTGGTGCTGAGGAATCAAACCCAGGGCCTTGAGCATGCAAGGCAAGTGCTCTACCACTGAACTTCCTTCCCAGCCCCGAGCCAACTTCTTTAAAACAGTTATCTCCCTCTTTTCCCTTCTCTCCCTTCCCTCTATCATTTCTATCTCTCATTGTTTCTCAGGGAATTCTGAAAATGTTTGCCTTTTTAATGCAAACATGCTCATTTTTACTATATGTAATAAAAAATACAAATTTTAAAAGCAGTTAATCTGTCCCCTACCTGTAGTTCTTAAATTTAAAAATGCACATTTTATTCAAAACTTACAGTAAATAGTAACAATATATAATACGTAGTTAATAAGTTAACTTTTCAAAATGTATATGGGGATGGTGACACAGGATCTGGCTATGTAGCCCAGGACTGAAGTATATAATTGACCACTGGGCTCATGCCTATATTCTCTACTGAGGAGATAGAGACTGGGGGAATTCAGGGCCAACCCAGACAAAAAAGGAAAAGTTCCATCTTAGCAAACAAGCCAGGCATGGTAGCAGTTTCTCTACAATACCAATTAAATGGGAAGTGTAAGTAGAAAGATGATAGTCTGAGGCCAGCCCTTGACAAAAATATAAGACCCTACCTGAAAAATTACTAAAGCAAAACAGGGCTAGAGAGAGGATGGCTTAAATCGATCACCTATTTACGAGTTCAACTCCAGCACCAAAAAAAAAGGAAATTTGCAACTGATCTTCCTGCCTCAGCCTCCTGGGATTCTATGCTTTATTTCACCAGTTAAAAAAAAAAAATTTGAAGTATATTCTTGAACAGTCTTCTACAACCTCTTACTGACAACATGCAATGGGAATTATGGCAAGAATTTGTAATTCACTAACAAGGAAACTTCTAGAGATTTAATTCAATAATAGTATAAAAACGTAAGACTGATTTCAGTTTGTAGAGAACACTAAAAACTAGTGACTTAGAAGTCTAATAGTATGGGGAGGGGCACAGCAGGTGGACAGGAATGTGGCTTAGGGGTAGAGTACTTCCCTAGCACACATGAAGCCCTGGGTCCAATTCCTTAGTACCACATAAAACAGAAAAAGCCAGAAGTGGTGCTAAGCAGTTCAAGTGCTAGAGTGCTAGTCTTGAGCAAAAGCAGCTCAGCAACAATGCCAGGACCTGAGTTCAAGCCCCAGGACTGCCCAAAAAAAAAAAAAAAAAGTCTAATAGTAGGGGGGAAAAAAAGGCCTAGAAAATGAAATCAAGTTTACCTCTTTTTGTGGACTTCTTTAAAACAAAAGATTGGAAATGCAATGAAATCATGTGAAAATCTTATTCTCTTTATAATATGAAACTTTCCATACAAAATTCAAATAAATTGAACTGGTTCTGCTGGTTTCTCCAAGATTCCAACTCTATAAACAAATACAATTTGGACTCCAATCTGGAATCAAAGAGAAATATATCCTTCTCTTTTTCTCCCTTTTTTTTGTCTTCTTTTCTATCTTTCTTTTTTTGTTTCTTCCTTCTCTCTCTTCTCTCTTTTCTCTCTTCCCTCACCTCTCTCTCCTTTTTCCTCTTCTCTCTTCCTTCTCTCTCTTTCTTTTCTCTCTTCCCTCTCCTCTCCTTTTTCTTTCTCCTCTCTCTTTCCCCTTCTCTCTCTTCTGAGACAGGATCTCCTATGTACCCCAGGTTGGCTTAGAATTCAATGTATAGAAAAGTTGTCCTACAATTCTCATTTGTGCTGCCTCAGCTTTCCGAGTTCTGGGATCACTGTATGCACTAACATACTTGTCACATATTCCTGCATCTCCAAGATATTATTTTGATAATATTAGATTCAAATTTTTAAAAATCTTGATTACACATACTGTTTTGTCTTCTCGAAAAAGCCATCCAGTTTGGGCACGTGTGAAAGAAATTGATTTGGTTGATAAAGTTGCAGAATAAATATCACTGCTCATTAAAATGTCAACTTCTTCTTCTGTTTCCATCTCTGATTCCTAAAGGGGGGGGTATAAAAATAAAAGAATCTAGGTTTTCTTCAAAAGATTATTACTGCTATATATGAATACATTACCAACTACAATGTCACATATTGGAAAAGTAAAAAAGACTTCCAAATAATGTGAAGTACTAAAAAACAAACTAGATGATTAAACTTTGTTATCTAGTATCTTCTCTGACAGATTATAATTATAACCAATTATGAATCTTTGGAAGCATGAAACTCAGAATTTTTACATTATAGATATATAATTAAAATAGTGCTACCAATTACTATAGTGTATAATTTTTAAAGCATTTCTCTAAGAATATGCCTGTCTCATGTTGTTTAACTTTAATTTTAATCTTTTAGAAATATGTACGAAAGCATCCAGAAAGATTACATAAAATACTGAATGTTTATATTATGTTCAACTACAAATTTTTTAAAAGATAATTACAAAACATCAATGAAAGATAAATGACCAAATGTCTTTTTTAAATAGGAAATATGATGATGAGAAAGGATGGTTAAAAATTACTCCCAAGTATCTGAGTTAAGAAAATGGTAACATTCACCAAAGGAAGGAAAACAATAGTATGACAGGAAAATGAGTGAAGTTTTAAATGAGGCAATTTTAAAGTACTTGGGAAACATGCACTATCTACCCATATAAAAACAGATAGGTCTCCACCTTGAACTACCTAAAATATATGTATTTGTGAATCATTAGCCTATATAGGAGGAACTTACAGAAGAATGTTCTGAGGTTTTTAAAAATAAGAACTCAAAAAAGAGCGTATCAGTATTTCAAAGATAAGCAGAGGGAAAAAATGAGCAAAAGAAAGAAAGGAGAAATGGGAAAAGGGCAACTACTATCCAAGGTAAATCTGAAGAAAATGACAATTTCAAGAACTGAGTTACTAAGGAGCAAATGCTTAATAAAAGTCTACTAAAAACGTAGTTGAAGCTGGGTACTGGTAGCACACGCCTGTAATCCTACCTACTCAGGAGGCTGAGATCTAAGAATGAGATTCAAAGACAGCCCAGGCAGGAAAGTCCCTAAAACTCTTATCTCCAATAAACCACTCAGAAAACCAGAAGTGGTGCTGTAGCTAAAATGGTAGAGCACTAGCCTTGAGCTGAAGAGCTGAGGGACAGTGATCAGGCTCAGAGTTCAAGCCCCATGACCAACCAAAAACAAAACATAGTTGGAAGTAAATATACTAATTTTAGCAATGGACTCAAAATAAATATTACTTGAAATCCTAAACATTTATCCAAACATCCCCAATCTACCAAGTGCCACCACCATAATCCATTCTTCAAGCCAGCATCACTACACTCAACCTTAAGCTTTTCTTCATCTTAATTCACTCATCTGACATCACTGACAACTTCTAACAATCCTTGAAAATTATGTCATAGTTTCTTAATCATTTATGACACTATCCTAATATCTTCCCCACCCCTCAAATAAATAACCGTAAAAATTTCTCATACACAAAAAAGAACTCCATCCTTATACTTAAAAATTTAAACTTATGTCACCAATCACAATCTTCCAATTCATTTTACATGCTAGCTATGTGATCTTGAAGCTGTCATTTAACATCTATAAATCTCAATTATCTTACCTGTAAAATACAAAAACTATCTTATTTGACTGATTATCTTATGAGGAAACAGAGTACTTAGATTATAATCCTAATATTCTGGCATTAATTTTTGGTATATGTTAACAATCAATTTATACTGCAAATACAAACCATCCAAACAGTTTTCTAAAAGCACCAACCAGTGCCTAGAATATATTAGGTCCTTGATAAATGTTTTGAGAATCAAAGGAACGAAAGAAATGAGAAAAGAACGGATCAAGAAAAGGAAAATCAAATAAACATATAAGATCAAGTCACCTAAATTACTTTTGATCAAATCAAGAGTCTTGTTTAAAAATCATGACACAAACTAGGAGCCAGGCTAGCTTGGACAACACAGAAGACAAAAGACACCTCTCTCTCCCAAAAAAAATTAAAAAATACTGTAGCACTACAATAACATACAGATACTATAAAAATTTACTTTGGTTTATAGTGAGGAAAGGAAACAAAGGTAAAAAATGTACTTTGAAAGGGAGAAAAATAAATGCTAGGCAAAGACAAGGAGTAAAAAGAATGGCTAAAGAGCCAAAAGAATGTTCATATTAGCCAGTGGTGCTAGTCAGGAGGCTGAGATCTGAGGATCACGGTTCAAAGCTACCCTTGCAGGCAAGCCCATGAGACTCTTACCTCCAATAAACCACTAGAAAGCCAGAAGTGGTGCTGTGGCTCAAGCAATAGAGCACTGGCCTTGAGCTGAAGAGCGCAGGGACAGTACCTAAGCCCAGAGTTTAAGCCCCATGAACGACCAAAAAAAAAAAAAAAAGAGTGTTCCTATTAAGGAGATAAAGGTCAACAATGCTGAAAATAGCAAACGTAATACACTAAATAGTAGATGTATTTCCAAGAAATGAAACTACAAATGAGAACAAAAGCTGAGGTTCACTGATCTAGGAGATAATCAGCAAATTCTGAACAACTCAATAGACTGGTCAGGATAATAACCATATAATAGAAAAAAATGGGGAGGTAGGGCACTAGAAGTAAGGATGTTAAAGCTTTGAGAATAAACCTTCTCAACCATACTTAATGTTCTTAAAGAAATGTTAAATTCTTAAATTTCTTTAAGAACATTAAGTAGCTCTGAGATCTGATGATTTATACAAAGCCAGCACAGGCAGGGAAGTCTGGAAGACTAATCTCCAATTAAACAGCAAAAAGCCAGAAGTGGAGGTGTGGCCCAAATGGGAGAGTGCCAGTCTTGAGTGAAAAAGCTAAGGAAGAACACTAGGTCTGCCCAGAGTTCAAGCCCCACAATAAATAAACACATACACACAGAAATTACATGGAGAGTTGGCTAAATATACTTACTTTTTTTTAAACCATTTTGAGAAATAGTGATTACTCACCTCATGATGTATCCGCTGATAAACTTTTTGTTCATTGTCTAATACTACAAAAGATTCAGAGGGTGCCGCATCCCCATTGAAAATGAAGCTCAAATCCCCTCGTTGGCACTTCATGTCAGTAAAGTCTATAAGAGTTGTGTCAAGCCTGTGAATGATTGGTGAGAAACATAAAACCATGATAAAACTTCAGTAACAATTAAGCCAACTAAGATGCTACCATATTTCAAATTTAAATTTATAAAAACTAAATTTATTCCAGGAAATGGAAACAAGACTTTTGTTGTGTTCTTGCTGTTTGCGTTTTGTTTGTCTTTAGAAGGGAAGTGGAGGCAGAGAAATGGAGGGACAAAGGCTGAATAAATGTAGTAATGGTATCACTAGACACCATGTAGAAAATGAACTATACAACTTGTGAGTGGGCATGGAAGGGAAAAATAATTGGGATAGGGGCTGGGAAGGTGGCTCAGTGGTAGAGCGCTTGCCTTGCATGCATGAGGCCCTGGGTTCCATTCCTCAGCACCACATAAGCAAAAAGAAAAAAGCTGGAAGTGGCGCTGTGGCTCAAGTGGTAGAGCACTAGCCTTGAGCTGAAGAGCTGAGGGACAGAACCCAAGCCCAGAGTTCAGGCCCCACAACTGGACCCCCCAAAAAATAAGAAGAAGAAATAAAAAATAATAATAATTGGGATAGTGAAAGGGAAGAGATAACATTTTTTTATGTAACTGTAACCCCTCTGTACATGACCTTTATGTGAGTATAGATTTTTTTGTTAGTCCTGGGGCTTGAACTCAGGACCTGGGCACTGTCCCTGAGCCTCTCTGTGCTCAAGGCTAGCACTCTACCACTTAAACCCCAGCACTACTTCCAGCTTTTTCTGTTTATGTGGTACTGAGGAACTGAACCCAGGGTTTCATGCATGCTAGGCAAGCAGTCTACCACTAAGCCACATTCCTAGCCCTGTACATCACCTTTACTATAACAAAAAAAAAAATTAAACTTTACCCATCCATGTCTATTTTATCTGCATTATACTTTTCTGAATATACTTCATTTATTCAGCAAGGAAAATAATAAGTTTTCCCATTGTTAACATATTTCCTTTACTGTGCCTTTTTTCTGACCATTCCATACTGTAGACACTCAATAAAGGTATAGAAAAAGAAAAGAACTAACTTTCTTTGATCTGATACCATGTTACTATTTCAGAAGAGTATTTAGCTGGGTAGAACAATATGGATCACATTCTTGGTTTTTTTAATTCCAATTTTGACTCAGATCCATATATGCATATGATCCTAGATTAAGTTACAAGGGATATCTAAGACCGACCCAATTCTTGCCTTTTCTCCATCTCTTCTTCTTTCTTGTTTCTATTTATCCATACCTGAGTTCATCCATTTATTTTTTTAGTTATCTGTCCATTTCACTGAACACTTTTAAAGCTGATTTTAGTTTTCTTAATCTAGGATCAAAGAGGTGACCATCCTAAGTCTTCTAAGTATTGAATTGCAATCTTCTACTAAATGTACTGCAACTAAACAAAAATAGTTTACTTCAGCCAATATTTTATTTATTTTTTTTTGGGAGGGGGTCTGGTCGTGGGGCCTGAACTCTGGGCCTGGGCACTGTCCCTCAGCTCTTCAGCTCAAGGCACTAGTGCTCTACCACTTGAGCCATAGCACCACTTTGGCTTTTTTCTTTTTGCTTATGTGGTGCTGAGGAATCGAACCCAGGGCCTCAGGCATGCAAGGCAAGCACTCTACCACTGAGCCACCTTCCCAACCCCAGCCAAGATTTTATTATCTGTGACTCCTTTATATGTCTCAAATGAGTGGAATGTTTAAGTTATTAAGCACAAAAATTGTAAGAAAAATTTTCTCTATACTTCAATTCTCAGTTGCTTAAGAAATAAAAAATCAAACTACCTTACCTGATATTGATACCTTGTTTGTATATTTTACATGCATCAGAAGGCAGAATTCGGGAAAGTAAAGGCACTGTATATTTAAAAACAAAATTGTTTTTAAAAATTACCTATAATGCTGAAACATTTACAAGCCTTCAAAAAGTTTAACTACTTTTTAAGAGTAGCAAAAGCATCTCACTAATCCATCAAATTATAACCAATTCCTGCAAAATAGTATTTTTCCACTTTGAAATAATTATGACATATAAAGCAATATTAAATAACTTTATGCTACTTAAGGGTAATTTCAGGTTATTTTATTCTAACTTCACCCAAAAACATAGTTAACAAACTAAAAAAGTAATAAAGTTAATCTAATGCCACTTTGTATCATCATATAATATTTATTATACATGAATCATCAGTGCCATATGATAATTGAACACTCCTAAATAGGGACGCAGAGGAACCTGGAACTATCTGATGTATTCCTTAAATAGAATTCCCAGAAACAGACAAAAGGTAATGTAAACTGTACACAAATCACTGAAACAAGCCAATGGAAATTAAGTTAGATGTAAAATATGTGCCTTAGTTGTTTAAGCTCATTGTGCCTCAGGTTCATAATCTATAAAACGTAAGTCATACTATTTATCTACAGCTTTCTTCACTCCAAGTTTTATATAACTCATATCCATATCATAAGTCAAATTCTGATTTTTGTATTAATATCTTCTGTTTTAGTAAGCAGAAGTTATTCTGTAGATGAATACATCTCCATCATAGGCAGACTTTAAGTAAACTAAAAAAAGAAAACATGAAGTTCAAAATTCTTAATTAAGACCATACTTCACATGTATGTGTGCACCTAAATTGCATTTCTACATATGTAAGCTGCCACATTTATATTTCAAAATTCACTATTTAAAAAATTGGTGAAGGGGGGCTGGGAAGGTAGCTCAGTGGTAGAGTGCTTGCCTTCCATGCATGAAGCCCTGGGTTCGATTGCTCAGCACCACATAAGCAGAAAAAGTCGGAAATGGTGCTGTGGCTCAAGTGGTAGAGCACTAGCCTTGAGCTGAAGAGCTGAGAGGCAGCGCCCAGGCCCAGAGTTCAGGCGCCACAACCGACCAAAAAAAAAAAAAATTGGTAAAGGATGTCAAGAGCCAGTGGCTCATGCCTTGTAAGGCTAGCTATTCAGGAGGTTGAGATTCTAAGGATTGTGGTTTAAAGCCAGCACTGACAGGAAAGCCTGCCAGACTCTTAGCTACAATTAACTTAGAAGCCCAGAAGTGGTACTGTGGCTCAAAATGGCAGAACATTAGCCTTGAGTGACAAAGCACAAGGACAGTGTCCAGACTCTGAGGTCAAGTCCCATGACCAGGAGAGGAAAAAAAAAAAAAAGCTGGGAGAAGGAGGCTGAGAGATAAGGATCATGGCTTGAAGCCAGCCTATGCAGAGGAAAGTCCAGGAAACTTTCACCTCCAATTAAATACCAAAAAGTTGGAAAAGAGGCTCACGTGACAGAGGGCTAATCTTTAGCAAAAAAGCTCAGGGACAGCACCCAGAACCTGAATTCAAGCCCTAGGGCAGACAAAATAAAATAAAATAAAAACAAAGAGTTTCTAAGCCTAGAGTTTTCTATCTATATCATAAAACAATCACAAATACAGGAATGAATATTCTGAGGATAACCAGAAAGAAATAAAAACATAAGTTTGTCAATTTAGAAACTGAATATATAATACTAAATTTGAAGTTTTATTATGAATACTTAACAATGCAGAAGAAGCATCCTTCCAAAATAATTCATTTCATACATACCAAAAGGAGCCTTGCAAGAGATTATATAGTTACTATTATTCCATTTTTAAGATGAAAAATAAATAAACCAAATGTTGGTGGCTCACAGCTGTAATCCTAGGTACTGAGATCTGAAAATTCAAATGCAGCCCAGGCAGGAAAGTTTGTGAAACACTAATCTGCAATTAAACACCAAAAAGCTGGCTCAAGTGGGTACAACTCTAGCCTTGAGCAAAAAAGTTTTAATAGTGCCCAGGGCCTGAGTTCAAACCCCTGGACTGACCCAACAATAATTTTAAAAAAAGAAAGAAAAGAAAAAACCCTGACGCTCAGGATTTTCTATACTAAATAATTGAAATGAGGGGCTGGGAAAGTGGCTCAGTGGTAGAGCGCTTGCCTTGCATGCATGAGGCCCTGGGTTCCATTCCTCAGCACCACATAAGCAAAAAGAAAAAAGCCAGAAGTGGCGCTGTGGCTCAAGTGGTAGAGCACTAGCCTTGAGCTGAAGAGCTGAGGGACAGCGCGCAGGCCCAGAGTTCAGGCAGGCCCCATGACCGGACCCCCCAAAAAAAAAAAATTGAAATGACTACATCCAACTCCCATTTAAAATTTTTCTATACCTAACATAGCAGACTTGGGCAGTTCAGTTGCATTCGAAGTTACTATTCAATCAAAAGTTAGTTTCTATGTAAAGTAAAAATTAACAACAGAATGAAAAAAAGAATAATGTGCTCTAAGGTCACAAAGTTGAACTTGCCTTGTTATAAATATATTTTGGCTACTTCTAATTTCTGGCTTGCTTTTTAAATAATAATATGGGTTACAGGAGGAAGTAACATCTCAAAAGTCCATAAAAAAAAGTTTGCTTATCAAATCTAGTAATAGAGATTATGTATTTTGCAATTCAATGTATCTAGAACATGTAGAAGTAAATGGCCTTAATTTAAATTTATAGATCTATCTGGTACAGTTTTGACCTTCAATCACTAATATCCTTTTCAACAATGAAACAGATGTTCTACCTGATCTCAATGAAAGAAGACTTTTGACAAAAACCTCAGCTCAGGGTTACATCATACATCTGAATACGCAACATTTATAATGCATTACTTGTAAATGTAACTACAATCCCAATTCAATAGTTATTACATGTATTCGTAGTATCTCTTCATATAATGGAATTGTCTTTTAAATATATTTTGTTCAACAAGACAAATGGACTATTTTAGAATTCAAACCACAATTATGAAAACAACCAGTTAAGAGTCAACACATACAAGACACACCCAATTTAGGATCACCAAGCAGGACTGGAGTCTCTGCAGATGAGGAAAAATATACTCAGTCTGTAGATCAATCTGACTTGGAGTTATTTAATTACTAAAGTCTACTGAAAAAAAAATTTCTCCATGTATAAACATGTATTTTATAGTAAAATGAAGCACTCTTACCCCAGCTTTGAAAATCCCAGTGAAGTTCTAGATAAAAGTCACCTAGCTGAAAAATGAAATGTGAAAAATTACAAAATCCATTTTAAAGTAATAGTTCTTATACCTGCTTATTAATAATTAATATCATTGAAAGTCTATCAACAAGAACAAAAATAATAAAAAAAACTAATATTATGTTTGTAGAGTTTAAAAAACAGAAAAGTATCAAAATATGACTACTTCTTGAGGCATTACAATAGCATACACTGCCAAAACTTAATTACAAAAGAAAATACCCTCCACTGCAGAACTTATAAGAATATTTTAATAACATATGAATATATTTTAAGCTGGTAAGTTAAATTTATATCAATACTCTTCTTAGAATAACCAAAATAGTAACAGGCATTATCTTTTAAATAATTAACTTTAAAATTATCAGAAATATTGTTTATATTGAAATGCTTGAAAAAAAAAGTCCATTGCAACAGAAATTAATTTTAATATGAAGACAAAATATAAGTTACTAACTCCAAAATGGATCATCATATACGATCTATGGAGAATTTTGTTTTGTTTTGGCCAGTTGTGGGCTTGAACTTGGGGCCTGGGCACTGTCCCTGAGCTTTTAACTCAAGGTTAGCTCTCTACCACTTTTGGGCCACAGTGCCACTTCTGGGCTTCTGGTGGTGGATGAGTCTCAGACTTCCCTGCCCAGGCTGGCTTTGAATGATGATCCTCAGATCTCAGCCTCCTGAGTAGCTAGGATTATAGGTGTGAGCCACCAGCACCCGGCAAGAAATTTTATTTCACAAAAGCTACATACCAAAATGACTGAAAAAATGATTAATTACCAGTGAAACTGCAAAAAACACAGCAACAAATTAATCTTTCCTATTTTAAACACTGAAAAAAATTGAATGTTAATATCAGAAATCACTGAAAACAAAATATTTTTTGTATTCTTTCTATACTTCTCTAGACCAAAAAATACTATTAAAGCAGTCCGAAGAATAGGCAAACTGTTACCATTGCATAAAAGGTCTTTTTCCCATTCTTTCAGTCATCAAAAAAGAGGAAAAGGAAAGGAGGTATGGTTCCGAAGACAGAGCACCAACCATGAAAAAAACCTGAGAGGTCAAGATCCTGAATTCAAGCCCCAGTACTGAGTTAAAAAAACAGGAAGAAATAATAATACAAAACAAATCTCTCCCTTTCTGTGTCAACACACATTTCTTACAACTGTAAGATAAGGCAGACAAAAAAGTGTATTAAATTATATAAGAAAATGTAACCTGCTCCTAGTAACAACAGCTTCAGTTATTTGTAATCTTCCATTCCAAACATGGAAATTTATTTCCTTCCATTCATTTTAACTTACCTCCTTTCTTCCTAGATCACATCTCATTTGTTAAAACTAATAAACCTTTAAATTCCAGTTCAAAGAAAATGAGTACTTCTGCTTCACTTATACATTATAATAACAAAAATGTTATTTCAATCACTGCTGAATTTAAACATATATTTTACCATTTATTGATGCTAAGTAGCAAGAATTAAACTATATGATGTGAAGGGTAAACAAAGGAGGAGGCTGCAATGCTTGGTAAGAAATGTACGCATTATCCTGCCCATGCAATTGTAACCCCTCTGTACAGTATTTTCAC